TTTTTTTTTTTTAAGTGAGCCTTGAACGTGAATTTTTAATCATGGTCCGATAGCATCCTCCATCTTAAATCAAGGTTCGACCACACACAAAGCTCAACCAATCAGAAGCAATGAGAGGACAGATAAAATCACTTGTCACAGGGCCTGCGGGATGGCTTTCTGGAGGTGACGCCACAATCTGATTGGTTCAAAGCAGAACCAGCGATTACAATGGTATGAGCGTCACCAATGCCTGCACTTGAGGTTCTGAAGGCGTTGGATAAAATTATATGTGCATGGCAACACACCGAAGCTGAAAACAAAACAAAAAACAAAATGAACCCACAAACGACTAGATGCGGCCGAGGCACACGCTATGACATGAAGACAAAAAAAACTGTTGGAAACAAATGATGACCGCTTAATTCAAGTTGTCGATGGAGGTCTGTGCTTCTTGTGGGCATGCAGAGAAGGTTTTGAAGGCCCTGACGGTACGCCACTGGTGCGTCTGCTGTATAGCACATGCTAAACATTGCTCAGTTAGAATAAACCAAATATTTGGATCGTAAATGCGGGCGGCAGTGTGTACTGGTTGAAATGATTATGAATGGGAAATTTGCATAGTTAGCTTTGCTCTGTTGACTTATGCACATCCTGGCAACGGAACGCGTCTGGCACGCGAACGGCTTTCAACTTTGAAAACTTTGAAAGAAGTCATCCTGCATCGGGCTTCTTTTGAGCACTCTTTTTTAACTCTTCCACTTCACTGAACAAGTCGTCAACGGGAAAAGTGCAGTAGGAGGCCGGGCGACTGGTGCTAAATCCAGACACGTGATCCACACAGCCCCTGGGTGCTCATGCTTATTTCTCTCCTTAATATCCTTTCACCCCACCCCCCCCCCCGCCCCCTCTCAGCTCCATGCAAACTCCCCAGAAGCTCACAGTCAGCCGGCTTTAACTCCTTCCTCACCAGCAAGAAAGGCCTGCGGTGGTGCAACCCACCACGAAAGGCACACTTATCATTATTAAAGTAAACATTAGCACGCTGTGCTAACCCTTTAGTTACTTTGCTGCCCCCCGAGGCCGCTGGAGAATCAATATCAACTCTCATGGATGCACCTTTTCACTGTGACCACCCCACACCCGTACTTTTGAGCTATGCCCCACATTGACGACGTCTCAATGAGAAACAGTCTATTTTTCTTATGCGTGCAGCAGCCATATTCAATATTTTTCCAACTGCCTTCTTCAAAGTACAGCAAATAACCCCCCCCTCCCTCCCCCAACCCAATCCCACTTTCTGCAGGCGGAATCTTCTTGGACCAGATCCTCCCCCATATCCCAAAACAATACGCTGGGGGCCCTTCTCTGCTCCCACAGACATGCTTGGAACATATGTTTTATTTTTAGCGCCGACTCCCCCTCGGGTTTAAAAAAAAAAAAAAAAGAGGCAAAATCCCTCCATGGTTTTTGTGGGTTTTTGGTCGAGCAGAAATCAAAGTGGAAAAGTCCTCAAATATCAAAAGAAGAAAGAAATGAAGAACTGTCAAATGTGCCATGCCGTTTGCGTCTTCCAGGTGCACCTCTTCCGGGAGAAGACATACGAGTCTTCATGAATACACACGCACATGCACACACACTTAGATGCACGCCAGATATAACCTGATACGTGCAGGAGCGGGCCATATGATTTGGTTGGGCACCCACTGTGAATTTCAAGTACGGTGCTTCCTGGAGGAGGCCTCAACACGACCTGGAAAGACGGTGCAGTGCTAAGTGAAGTGTGAGGCGTGCGCACACATATTCCCAAACGCTGGGGGAGAGAAGCCTCTGCATGGCCAGTATTATGTTTGCAAACTCTACGACTCCCCCAACTTCCTGTCGGCCTCCCTGGCGTGCATTTGTTGAAATGGAGAGTTCAAAGTTTCCACTGGAGACGCACAGTGGATACTGTTACAAAAAAAAAAAGGCCACTTTAGGAGGCAATTGTTACCTCTCAAGGTAACAATTAACGTCAGAGTTTCCTGAATATGTGGATGCATTAGCATGGCGATGGCATCGACTGCTCATAAATTAATCAGACAGTATTTAGCAGAAATGAATTCAAAAGCCAGGAGCTGAGGTCCCCGAGAATCAGTTAACATTGGATGAAACTATTGGGACCCAAGTGGTCAGGAAGGGAAAATGGAAAATTGGCAGCTGACACACCGCTGGGATCTTAAATTTGGGGGGATTTGTATCCATTTTATCCAGCCTATTGGCCCATCATCAGAGATGGGCACTTTCGCCTATTTTTATGCCGGTGACATCTTTACTTATGCTCACATCAACCTCTGAAAATATTAGACTGATCGCCCAAGTGGTTGACCTGATTAGGGACGATTAAACTCACTTCCATTCTTGTTTAGCCCGTCCTTTTTAAAAAATTTCTCGTCCTCCATCCTCTACCCCCAAAATGGAGTGTCCGTCCGCGTCAGATGGGACGGTATGCCCATCTCAGCCCGTCATGACTGTTTAACGGGAATCTCCCTCATTCAAAGTGCGGTTGAACAACATCCGATTCTTTGACATCAACGCTAAGTGTGCTAAGAGTCGAGCCGACTTTGATGAATCAATGACATTTGTATGTTTTTTTTCGCTAGGCAAGGCACCTTTACTTATACAGGACATTTCATACACAAGATAAATCAATGTGCTTATCATTATCAAAAAAAAAATACAACAGCCATTCCAGTTCACAAAGAGACTCAGGTTCTTTGTCTAACGTTCTACTGTCTGACGGTTGAATGAAAGTAGTCGCTGGATGTTTTTGTTGTGACTTTAACTAGTTCCTTTTTAGCATAAAAAAAGAAAGGTTCTGGCATTATTTGTGATTTCATTGTGAGTTTTATGAATTTGGTCATGGCTAACATGAGGATTTAAGGCTTCTTGTCAGCTAGCATTAGCAGGTGCCTTTTCAGAAGGACTTGTATAATACTTGCTACTGTTTTATTTGGGGATGGACTTGCATATGTTCTATGTGACCATACTATCCATCTCATCTACTCACATACTTGAGGCACTGATGAAAGTTTGCTACACAGACCGACCACATGTTGAGTTTAGCTATTTGTCCTTGCTGTCAATGCTAAAACTTGTAGCTGGCAATAAATCAACCTCAAGCGATAACCATCATTTTTGCCTCAGTTAAGCCAATGTATGGAATAGCTGACGAGTTGGTTAGATTAATAACGGTTCTGTTCTGTGGGAGCACGGTTGGTTTTATGCCAAGCCCTGATTGTTTTCAGTCAATCATGAGGCACGTCTTGATATTTTTGCCCATGCAACGCAGCTCGAAAAAAGATCACGTGCGGAGCTGATTGGAGACAGAGGCAATCTTCATTGTGCGCCGCTGCGTCTGGCTCCGACTGTTCCCTTTCGACTCTGAGCCGGCGGGATCCTGTTTCCCCGCAAGCCCGTGTCGCAGCCAGGACCTTATGTTGGTGAGCCAGATTGATTGTCAACAGAAAGGGATGTGAAATCCAGCCTGCCAAAGGAAAGCCGGCTCACATTTTGGGGAGGGTACACGGGGTTTCTTCGGCCCTATCTTTGGGAGTTTATGCTTTTGAGGTTTCATTTGTGAAAGTGAGCTTCCAAGTGCGTTTCGCCTGGCACGTCAAGGAATTACTCACTCACACGCTTTGATGCTTGTGAACTTTTTCTCCAAGGTTATCTGACAACCTTCTCCACTCAGGATTTGGGAGAGGAACTGACCCACTGTCACCCACCGCCCCCGACACTCACACATGACTCAGTCGGGATATCCTGTCCACACAGTCCAGCATTGAACTTAAACCTTCATCCTGCTGTGCTAAGACCAGCATCGTCCGGCCAGGTCCAAGAAGGGGCGGGACCGAGAGACCCTGTCTGTGTCTTGGTGAACAAGACGGTTGCTGTGCGAGTCCCCCTGGGTGCTGGTAACAAGATCGGCCTGCCGCAGGAGCCACTTGACAACCACCCCCCAACACCCCCAAACACCCTGCGCCCAACCATTCACCCCGGGCCAACCGATTCCCAGCTGTGCATCGTCCAGCTGTGGGTGCGGATCGTGTGTGACGGTCGGAGGTGCAAAATTATGATGGAATGATGATGATGATGATGATGAAGGGAGATAATTATATCGACGACAAAGAAATGAGAACCATCTGCCTCTCGCTGCACGCACTCAAAGAATTTCTCCGGTTATAAAATGAGTTTTTTTTTTAGATGGGAGACAGTGAAATTGCAAGTTTGGGATGGGCACATATGTTCCCGCAAAACTGAATGGGCATCAGGCAGATGTCCAACAAGCATTTGCAGTTTCAACTCGCAAACCTCCTGGCATATAGCTTGATTACAGTAACCTTTAGCAGTCCTGACTCTGGCTTAGTCAGCCTGTCAAGTGCCTGGCTTAGGTTTAGGTTGAGAGGAGACTTGCCTTCAACTTCTTACTCATTACTTACACTTCAACTTCCTAACCGTGGTGTATTTGTTCAATACAGTCTTTCAAGTCAAAGACCTCTTCCAAATTCTAGTGTTATACTCTACTGGAGACTGGTTTATGGGTGCCAATTTAGGCCAAAGAGTCATTACAGAGCAGATGCTGTCGAGAAAAAGAAAAAACATGCTGTGGCCACTGTCATCCCCTGACCTCAACCCTATTGGTAACAGGAGAATGGCCTTTTCTGTTCCCAGTGCGGAAAGCCAGGTTCACAAAGCCATGCTAGGGATGATTTTGAAGGAAGCCGACCAAACACC